AGCATACCAAAGATCCATTGCCCAGGTGGGTGTTTGTGCTGGCATGCTAATATTGCTAAGTATAGCAGGATTGCACAAATAGGGGGCCAGCGTTAACGAGATGTTGGCTGTTTGCAATATTGTGTTAATGATGTTTTTGTCCTGCCACTTGCATGTTTAAATCAGGCCAAAAGCATTCTCCTGTGATTTTATTAATATTGTTTAATATTGTTTATATCTGTTAAAAATTGGTCTGGTCTGAAAACTTTACCATCGCTGTTATACTCCATTGGAATTGAGAAATAACCTTCCATGGAAAAACTTAGGACAGTGATGAAACTAAATGGATACTATGTATATTTTCCATAACGTTTGCATATAGTATTTGGAAGTAGGTCCACATGCAGTTTCATTTATTTATTAAAAGCATTTATACCCCGTCTTTCCTTGTGGTTCAAGGTGGCTTACAATAATAGTTATAAACATTTCCAGCAAAACCCCAAATTAAATAGCAAACACCATATCTTTCCCTCCCCTCCCCCCTTAAAAGATGCCTGCCATTCAAACTTCCTCAAACAAGCACTATAGAACCCAAGCCCTAAACCCAATTAATCTTGAGGTTACCCACCAAAGGGTTAAGAAACGACAGTGGAACTACAACCATAATAGATGTGTATTTCAAGATCCTTCCAGGGTCTTGGATACAATAGAGCTAGACTGACTGAAAGTGGGCCAATGGGAAAAAGGACCCCCTCCCCATTCAGTCACTATAATATCATGGAATGTCATGGGTTGAGCTGCTAGATCTAAGGAACCAGATGCCCAGAACCTTATGAGGAAATTTGACATCATAATGCTTCAGGAGACATGGTGTTTAGATTCCGTGGTCCTGGAGGGCTACAACTCACATGAAGTACAGGCTGAATCCTCATGCAAGGTAGGGCTAAGGGAGGACTGGGAATATTGGTATCTACAGCCCTGAGAGTTAAGATTATCCAACCCCCTCCACATGACCGAATAGCAATGGTGTTGATTTTAAAATCTAAAGGAACTGATTGCCTGATAGTAAATGTGTATATCCCTCCTGTTAAAACAAAAGCCCATACAGAACGGGTTTGGAGAGACTTGGAAACTTATATCTGGCAATTAATTAGTACATATCCTACTACATATTTAATAGTAGCAGGGAATTTCAGTGCTAGATTGGGAAAGGATGCTAAGGCCGTATATAAGGGGCATAACCTTTGCCCCCTTAGTTCAGAAACACTTTATCTGACACGTGCAAGATTATCCAAGGATATAAAGAGTAATTATGCAGGATTTCTGTTAGCTTGTATGGCCAGTGTGCTGAATCTAAAAATCTTAAATGGCTTCCATGCAAACAATCATCCTGGAGAATACACTTACTGGTCTGGAGTAAGGCTAAGTGTAATTGATTACATGATGACTTCAGGGAACTTAACCCCATTTATTGAATCATTTGAGGTTGCCACATATTATGGCAGTGATCCTATCCCCCTTATTTGACCATCTCAATCCCCAGCTTTCATCCTCAAATTAAGAATTGCTTCAAGGCAAATATTGAATATGGGGGAAAACATGCTAGGATAAAATGGAATAATAAAAAGGGAAAACATATGCAGGAATTTCTTAGACAAAAACCTATAGAAACCTTGGCAAGAGGCATCATACTTTCAGAGGAAGGGGAAGAGGCCATTAAATTATACGAAGATCTTATCCAACAACTACAGTCCCCTCCATAAGGATACATATTCAATTCCAAGGGCAAAAGAGAAAAAAACAATGGTTGGTTTGATAGGGTATGTTTAACAGCAAAAAAGGAACTCACCAAAATATATCTGCAATATAGGACCGATCCAGAGATAGTTAATAAACAACAATTAAAGCTACAGAAAGCTAGATATAAAAAGCTGTGGTAAGAAAAAAGAGGCATGTAAACTAGCTTGGCTACAGCTGGGGCAGGCAGCAAGATTAAAAAATTCATCACTATTTTGGAAATTGGTGACAAATGGCTCCAATAAATTCACCTCCCAGTTAACTAATGCAGTTTTACCAGAAGTATGGGAAAATCATTCTAACGTACTTTATGGAACATCGGAGGAAGCAGTTTGTTTATTGGAGGACTTGGAGGATACACCAGAGTGGCCACCAGTCGAGCCCTCTGAAGTAAGATCCTTAATTGATTCCCTGAAAGTAAAAAAAGCTCGCGGCCTTGACTTAATACCTGCAGAATTCATAAAAGAAAATGTAGATTGGTGGGCTCCACTGTTCCCTTTGAGCTGAGTTAGTGTGAGCTAGCTCATAGGTTTTTAGCCTCAGCTCACCCATTTTTGTCTTAGCTCAGGAAGGATGGCTCCAGAGCAAACTGATTTATGCAGTAGCCAAATCGCTTGCTCACAACTTTAAAGTAGAATTTTGTTCACAAGACTCCACAGCTTAGAGGGAACATTGGGGGGCTCCACTGTCTGCCAAACTATTTACTGAAATAAATAAGACAGCAAGGATACCCAAAGGTTGGGATACTAGAGTCATCATTCCCATCCATAAGAAAGAAGATAGAAATGACCCCAATAACTATAGACCAATTAGTCTTTTAAGCATCTTGAGTAAACTATATGCTAGTTATCCTAAAGAGAAACTAGGAGATTGAGCACAACAAAATCTTGAGGGAAAAACAAGCTGGGTTCAGAGTGGAATATTCCACCTTGGACCATTGTGCAGTTCTGGACCACCTTATTACTAAATATTCTTCTAGTAACACTTCTGCCCTATATGCAGCTTTTATAGACTTTAAGTCTGCTTTTGACATGGTACAGCATGACCTCTTATGGGAAAAACTAAGAGGGATGGGAATTGAAAGGAGATTATTGATCCTAATAAAGGCCTTATACAGGAACACCAAAATTTGGATAAGAACAAATCCTCAAGGTCACCTTACTGAAGTCATAAAAGCCGAGAAAGGTGTCAAACAGGGCTGTATTTTGGCTCCATATCTATTCAATCTCTTTATAAATGACCTAGGGGAACACCTAAGCTGCCCTGAAGTGCATACTCCCAAGATCGCCAATAAGCATATCCCCCTTCTATTGTACACAGATGATGCAGTGTTACTCTTTATGACTCCCATTGGGCTCAAGCGAGCTATGAAAATCCTTGCTCACTACTGTCAGATCAATCATATTGAAATTAACTATCAAAAGTCAAAGGTCCTAGCCTTTGCAAAAAGACCCAGGACATATCAGTGGAGAATTAATGTGGTGACCATAGAACAGGTTCACTGCTTTAAATACCTAGGCATAGTGTATCAGACCTCAGGGTCCAGAAAAGCACACGTAGATCATGTTATAACAAGTGCAACTAAAACTAAAAGTGCAGGTGCCATTGAGAAATTTTATTGGACAGCAGGGGGATGGAATGTGGTGGCTGCAGTTAAGGTTTTCAAGGCAAAGGCCCTTGCTCATTTACTTCATGGGGCACCTTTGAGCATAACACCACACCAGTCCCACTGGCATTCATTAGAAAAAGGGCAATCAAAGTTTTAAAGACACATATTGCAGGTCCCCCTCGTGTCCCAAGCCTGTCTATACGATTAGAAATGGGCATGGGTTACTGTCAAAACACGACTGTGGATCGCTGCTATCCTCTACTGGTTTAAACTAATGACAAAACCCCACCAGTTTTAGCGGGTCTTATAGTAAGAGATTCTACTACACCATATTGGATGAAGGAAATAGAATCTAAATTGGGCTATTATGGCCTTTCCAAACAATACCTGCTGAGTATGGAGTATAACCTTGTTAGACCCTTTATCAAACAAAGAATCCTGGATATTGAAAGACAGCATGGATTGAAGCAGCTGAAAAATTACTTACCAGGAATAATAGACCTAAATAAAGTAACACTGATGCCATACTTGCAAAACTTAGGTAAAGCTGATTATAGGAGAGCATTTACCCTCCTTAGAATGGATACGTTGCTGTCAGCAGTTATGGAGGGTAAATTTATAAGGCAGCCATACGAGGAAAGACTGTGTATTTGTGGGGGTGGGAAGCTGGAATCCAGGGAACATGTTTTGTTTGAGTGTAAACTCTACCAAAATATTAGTGCCGTTTATATAACTCCAATCTGCAACCATTTTCCAGGGAGAAATATCAGATTCTATCTAGATAAGCTACTAGCTGATAGGGATCAAAACATTACCTTAAGTGTGGCAAAATTTGCCATACAAGCTATAATATTATAGAAACAAATTGCTGGGAGAGGTACTCAAGTGGTTTATTTATTTTAAGACTTAACGTATAGAACAGAGGCTGATTTTATGTTTACATGTTTTAGCTTGAATGTAAGCTCTTATGTAGAATTTATATTTTGTATATCTGATTGGTCTTTGACCGTATTAAACTAATTCATGTTCATGGTCCTCAAACAAGCAAGCCCGCACTGCAGCATATGATCTGTAATCTTTAAGTTCTAAATATTGGATATTTATGCCAATTAGCTGATCATCACAATGCACAATGGAACTGCACATTATAAACTGAAATGTTGCTTTTACATGGAGTTTAAGAAAGTTTCCTGAGAATCCAGATGAGAAGGCTTAAATGGGAGAGAGTTCCAAAGAAAATCACAATTAATGTAGTGTCAGTAGGGGGGAAAGCACACTGAAACTCCAGGACTGCATTTAGCAGGTTCACCAAAAACACAATGCAGATTTTGAGAAGGTTTTTGACACGTATCACTTATGTTGCCAGAATTTTATGAATGTTGTTGCTCATAAATATTTAGTGTTGTCAGGAACTCTATAGCAAGATTTGAATTCCACTGCTTGTGGCAGCAAATATTAATGGTGCTGGGTGCTATATGTAGCCGTAAAATAACACAAGTAAAACAAACAAAAAGTTCTGCCAGTTCTCTAGTTGTCACTTTCCCCCCTAATGTCTCTCTCTCTCTCTTTTTGCATTGAGGAAGTTGTCCCCAAATTGTCAGAAAAACAGCCTACTATGCACCATCTGTGGATCAAATGGATAGCAATCAAGGTGTGGCTCTTTATGGCTGATGGAGGAAGCAGCTTGCCAACAGAAGCACCACTATTTCAGAACAAACCTTTTGTAGTTCTCTGGAATGCACCAACTGAACAATGCCGTCTGCGCTACAATGTGGATTTACATCTTGATGTTTTTGACATCATATCAAATGCCAATGAGACTCTGAGTGGGTCCAGTGTGACAATATTTTACCATACTCAGTTGGGGTACTATCCCTATTTTTTGGATGATGGGGACCCCATCAATGGAGGGGTACCACAGAATGAGAATCTTACAAAGCACCTCACCAAAACCAAGGCTGATATTAACAAATTCATACCTATGAGGAAGTTCCGTGGACTTGCAGTCATTGACTGGGAAAACTGGAGGCCCCAGTGGGACAGAAATTGGGGTAATAAAAACATTTACCGAAAGAAGTCTCTTGAACTTGTCAGACAGCGCTATCCACAGTGGTCAGAGGACAAAATCAAAAGAATGGCTAAGGATGAATTTGAAAAAGCTGGGAAAAAATTTATGAATGACACGCTCCTTCTGGCTGAACTTATGAGACAAAATGGACTGTGGGGTTACTATCTATACCCAGACTGTTATAATTATAATTACAAGGTTAACCCAGCTGCATACACAGGCGAATGTCCACCTATTGAAACATCCCGTAATGATCAGCTACTTTGGTTGTGGAAGGAAAGTACTGCCCTGTATCCTTCCATATACCTGGAATCCCTACTGAAATCAAGTCCAAATGCTTTGAAATTTGTGCGCTATCGGGTTAAAGAAGCATTACGTATTGCAGCAATTGGTAGAAAGGACTACGCCTTACCCGTTTTTGTTTACTCTAGGCCATTTTATGCCTATACGTTTGATGTTTTGACAGAGGTAAGAGCACATCATATATTGGAATCAAACTGCCTCCTAGGACCTGTTCCTAAGTTTCTTTTCCTGGCTGTCTTGCAAGGCCTATAGCCATAAGGGGCATTGAGGGGAATAAAAAGGTAAAGGTTCCCTTGCTCGAAAGCCAGTCGAATCCGACTCTAGGGTTGCGGTGCTCATCTCCATTTTAAAGCCGAAGAGCCAGCACTGTCTGAAGACGTTTCCGTGGTCATGTGGCCGGCATGACTAAACACCAAGGCGCACGGAACGCTGTTACCTTCCCACCGAAGTGGTACCTATTTATCTACTTGCA